CACCTACTCCGAACTTCCCTCTGAGCGCCAAAATTTGCCCGTGGCAAATGGCCCACAGCGTGCCACAGCCCCCCACTGAGGGGAAACGCGACACAGTCTGACAACCGCCTTCCCATGCGCCTGCAAAGCGGCATTCCCCCCTCACACTTGCCCGTCCTCTGTCAAGCGAAGTCAAATGAATTGCGACCTGAAGATATGTATGTATGTATATATACATTGTATATACATTATATATACATTATATATATATATCAAAGGCAAAGCACAAAATGCGAGACATCGTGACAGCGCCTCTGCCGCGCTCGGTTCCCAGGCTCTCGGTGTCTCAAAAGGCGAGCGGGCTCTGACGCATCCCGGTCCTCAAAGCTTAGGCTTTTGACCAAGGCTGCCGCCAGAGACAGAGGCTACAAGTCACTTGACTGTGCTTGATTTACAAGGGAGGGCTATTTTTTTAGGATTTTCCACGTTTTTCTTTAGGTTTTTTTCCTGGATTTTGCCCTATCTGGCTTCTCAGCTTCTTGGCTTCTTGGTTTTTGTCCTTTTGGAGTCTGGGCTGAGTCTGGGCTTCTTGGCTTTTGGCTTTTGGCTTGTGGCTCTACTTTCTCCGCATCCTCCGCATCACTAGTAACACCCCAGCATCACCGGCTTTTGACTTTGTGACTTTTTGGTTGGTGGCTTCTTACCCCCAACCCCCGCGCCTCTTTGTAGGGCCGTTGTTTGGCTTTGTGATGACCTCCAAAGGCAAACCTAAAACCCTGAACGAACCCCGATGAATCCAACGCCCACCCTTTGGCCCAAAACCACCATAGACCAACCCTAAAAACCACCACTACACCCACCCTAAACCCCACCACTAAACCCACCCTAAACCGCCACTAAAACTAGCAACCCTAACACCAAACCTAAGCCAACCCTAAAGAAACCCTGAAGTAACCTTAAACCAGGAAGACTCCCTAAAGAAACCCCTAAACAAACCCACTCTAAACCAGCTATAGGCTATCGGATACTAAACCAACCCTGTACCCCAACCACCGTAAGCCAATCCCGAAACCAACCCTAAGTCCGCACTAAACAAGCACAAAACCATCGCAATCCCTAACCCTAAACCCAAACTAAACCCGCTCTAAACCCACCCTACACCAACCCTCAACAAACCCAAAGCAAACCCGACACCAACTGCCCCCACCCACCCAAACAAACCAAACCAACACTGAACCATCTCGTTTTACAAGCAGAGCAGTCAACTTTCAGCACCTTTTCAACATCCTCAGCATCAGGAGTTGGATTTGTTTGTGGGTTCAAGGTTGGCAAGGGTTGGTTCGTGGGTTCCAGGCTTGTTTAGGGCAAGTGGGGGTGGCTGCGCTTTAGGTACTGGGATGGTTTAGCGCTGGTGGGCTTGTTGGGGTTGGTTTGGGGTGGGTTTAGGGCTGGTTTAGGGCTGGTTTAGGGTGAGTTTACAGTTGGTTTAAGCGGAACCCAAGGAGATCGCACCTGCCAGTTCCAAGACAGAAATCCATGAACAAATCCAAAACACACCCCCAAAAAAATACAGAAGGGCCGGTCATGGGGCCTGCGTTTTGGCAAAGCAGTAAAACACAAACAAACCTCGAGAAAACAAAAAACAAAAAGATACAAAATTGCAGACCCCATGGCTAAGCAGTCCAAGCTTGGGGACATAGGGCCTGCAATTTTGTTTTTTTTGGTTTTGTTGGTTTCCTCGAGGTTTGTTGCACTTTTCGAGAAAACCTAAAAAACCTCGCAAAAACAACAAAACAAAATTGCAGACCCCATGGCTGGGCAGTCCAAGCTTGGGGACATAGGGACTGCAATTTTGTGTTTTTTGGTTTTCTCGAGGTTTTTTGCACTTTTCCAGAAAAACAAAAAAACATCGAGAAAACCAAAAAAACAAAAACAAATGCAGACCCCATGGCTGGGCAGTCCAAGCTTGGGGACATAGGGCCTGCAATTTTGACTTTTTTGGGGTTTTCTCAAGGATTTTTTTGCACCTTTGCGGACGGGGTCATCTAAAGCATTAGCCTCAAAACACATTCTCCCTCTTTCTCTTGTCCCCTTCTACCATCTTATCATGGTCTCCATGGACCCGGGTGAGATGCGCCTCCAGGACGCCATCGAGGCAACTAAAACACTCTATCTTCGTGACCTACCTGCACGCGTCTGCGTCGGGCCCATGCCGGTGGGTGGCTTCACACTCCCTGAGTTGCCCTTGAGAGATTTAGATGCCGGTGCCCCCTCCATCAAGCATTTTGTCGGTGTGGTCATGGACATCCCAGCTGGTGACACAAACATCGAAAACATCAAGGCAATTTTCCGTGATCAAGCTTGGGACGAGCTGCCGGCTGTGATGAAGCCGAAGAGCAGGCCTAGCTTCGACACTGCGACCCTTGCTGCCTCAGACAGATGGAAACATTTGTCTGTTGAAGCACACCTACGTCAAGGCTTGCTGATTGACGAAACATCACCGGAATTGTGCATTTTTGGAAAGCGGTGCTGCAAGACACTGACGCAGGCTGGATCAATCTCAAAACTGTAGGGCGTGACTGTGAAACCGGTGGCTTCTTGCAGGGCGACCCAGACAGCCCCAATACCATCGAAGCAGCTAATCACCAGTAGTGCCACGGTGCCCGAGGCGGCTGCCTTAGCCCGAAGCGCCCCCATTGCTGAAGGTGTAGGCGCAGCCTCGCCCGCTCTGAACATGGGGGCAGGAACGCTTGTTTCCAAACAAGGCTGTGCACTTGGCTCACAAGTTTCGGAAGGATTGCCACCCCCTGCCGCTCCATCAGGCTCCCCTGGCGGCAGGGGAAGCTGTCCCTATTTGTGGCCTTCGGTGCGGCTTCCCGCAGGCGCGTCCGTTAATCATGTAGTTGCACCCGTGCGCCCTGCCGAATTTGCACTTGCCCGGAGCACACTTCCCCTCATTCCAGAGTCGACACAAGGGCTTTCCATCTGACGCAGTGGCTGCAATTTGCAGAGCCTGCTCAGTGGCTCGCTTCCGCTTGCTGGAGGCGGGCGCTTCTAATTGCTCCACATCTACCACGTCATGGGCTGCTCTGACATCACTGGCGCTGGCAAAGAGCCAAAGAGCCGCGACTTTGGGCTCGCAGCCCTTGACAGCTGCGTCGAAAGTCAAGCCACTTCGCATGGCCTCAGCCCACAAGGCTCTGGTATCTTCGTCAGCTCCCCGCAAGGCCGCCAGGGGCTGCAGTTGGCCAGTGAGAGGCGCAACCTTGGCACGGACAAAGGCCAGGTAATCCAGCCCTCGGTCTACCAACTCCTGCTTCCAGCCAGGCTCCAGAGCAGTGGCTGCCATGGTTTGGTAGGGGAAAAACGTGAAACAGGAGCACATGCACCAAACTGCAAGCAAAGCGTTTATGAACAGGCAAGATTGCAAGACGCAAGCAAGTGACTGCGAGACTGTGCAGCAAACCTGGCCGTGTGGCTCTTGCGCAGAGCACGGAGGTGTTGCCGAGCCACCCGATTTTGTCCGTCACTAGCTTAGGAGATGCACTCTTGAACCACAAAATATAGGAGGCATTGCTAGGGACTGTGCAGTGGAGAGCGCCAGGGGGTCGCTGAGTCCCGGCATTGGGTCTGCTGCCTACTTCGAGAGACTCATTGCGCAAAAAACATCAGCGCAGCATCTTTCACACCACTGTTTCGTGGGAAAGGAAGCCACAGCCATAGCAGCGCCGGTTCCTTGCCACGGCTTACCCTTGACGGTGGAACACAAAGGGCGCGAGAAACCTTCGCTTGAAATCTTCTCTGGGTGGGCCCGATGAATTTTGGACGCTGGGTGGGCTGGGACCACCCATTCCAAACTAAACAAATCAATGTCCTGCGCGAGTGAGCTGTCCGAACCGCTGTCAGAAGCAGAGGCGCTGTCTGAGTGCAACGGTTCAGCTTCGACAGGCGCTGGGACAACGGGTGTGGAGCGAAGCTGTTCGGCTTGCTCACCCATTGTAGACAAAGCAGGCAGCGCAGCAACTTGCCCGGAGGCTTGCTCATGCTGCAGCAGCTGGTGCCAGAGCAGCGTGTGGTAAGTGTCTGCCTGTGCCACAGCGAGCCGCACGGCCGCGACCACACGCAACTTCGCCTTTTCTTGGGCAGCAAATTTCACAGCCTCATCGGCGTAGCGCACCGGCATGGATGCCGCAGCAGATCCACAGGCCGCTTCAGGGCCAAGGGAGTCTGTCCAAGAGCCCAGAGCAAGTATGCGGCGAGAGCTGTAAGTTGAGGGCACAGGGGAGGTCCGCTTCCCCCAAGCGGCCGGGGCTAGCTGCACGAGGTCGGCCAGGACACGCTGCCAAGCCGCTGTGCTCATGGGAACCAAGACACCATCGCATGGACCATCATCGACCCTCTGCTCGTGCTTGACCATGACGGGGTCCAATGCAATTTACTTGCCGCTCCCGACTCTACAATCTTTGCAACTACTCAAGGACGGCTGGGCCCACAGGCGCTGGCAAAGCAACTTCGGCGCCCTTCCACGCATGGGCTGCAAGGTATTGACTTGCCTCTCTGCTCCCTTTGAAGCAAGGGACCTTGCAGTTTTCGAAGCTTGTGCTGATTCGCCAAACTCAATTATCAAGTATTTTGGAGTCATGGCCGCTCTCTTGTCCTATTCAGGGGTGCGTTTTCGACACGCACAGAGGAGCTCTTTTGCAGATTGCCTTGAGCATGTCGTCAGAACGGAGTGTTTCAAAGGCAAGGCCCGGCGTGGCAAGCGTCCGCCGGCGCCATTCCAGTGGGCCACGCCAATCAGCGGCGTGTGGAAACCCAATCTCGGGAGTGTGGCGCACGAGTTGTGGCCACCGCCACGGGTTTCTGCTGTAGTAGAGCAGGAGCTCAAAAATGTAGTCCCCATTTCTGGGCGCGGTAGGCTTGGACCATCTGTAGTCGACTGTCCAAGGTCGCGTAGTAGTTGGTGGTGAAAAAGGTTGTCATGTAGTTTGGAGCTCCCCGTAGTCGCTCATCATCAATCT